TTTTGATATAAAAACAAAAAATATTTACTAATAAAAATAAAATTTTCATTATAAAGAGATAATTTCAATTTTACTATATTTTACTATACTTTTTTTAGATTTTTAATAATTTATTGTAGAAGTATATATATAATATAATCAAAATTTCAAGAAATAACACATTCTAAAAAATTTTTTCTTAATTTTATTATTAATTAATACTAATTAAAATCAGATTTAAATGATATTAAAATATCTAACAGATTTTTGTATATAAAAATATTAGTTTTATAATTTTTTAAATTTTTTATATATTTTTAAAATTGTACTATATATAATACAAAGATCTAAATTCAATTATTAACAAATATAATTTTGTAATTAAAATAAAATATGATAAATAAATAATATAAAACTATAATTAAAACTTAAATAAAACTAAATTAAAATAATAAAAAAATTAAATTAAAATATATTTTATAGATAATTAAAATAATTATTAAAATATAACTAGAAATATTACCAAATACAAATAGAAATAATTATTAAAATACAATTAAAAATATTATCAAATACAGATAGAAATAATTTTTTTTATTGTTAAGATAATTTTTTATAATATTTTAAATATAAATAAAAAAAATTAAATTAATATTTTTCTTACAATATTAATCTATAAAAATTTTGAGGTTAATTATATAATTAAAAATCTTTTATTATTTATTTATATATTATTAAAAGACAAGTTTCAGCTAAAATAAATAAATAAAAGTTATTTTAAAATTTTAATTAATTTTTATTTATTTTTTTTAGTTGAACTTGTTTTTCAAAAATATATAATAAATAATAAAAGTTTTTTAATATATAATTTACTTTAAAATTTTGTATTTTCAACTTTTTAGATTAATATTATAAAAAATATTAATTTAAATTTTTTTGTTTATATTTAGAATATTTTAAAAAAATTATCTTAAAAAGAATAATTATTTTTATCTGTATTTAATAATATTTTTGACTAAAATAATCATTAAAATAATTATTACTTTATTCAATAAAATATAATAATATAATTATTCAATAAAAATATACTAAAATATTATCCAATAAAATAAAAAAATATAATTATTCAATAAGAATTTGATCTTTTAAAATAATAAAAAAACTATTAGTTATATTTATATCTTAAAATTAATTACTGATTCTTGTATTTTTTAATTATTATTAATACATATAATAAATTACTATAAAAACAAAGACTTTATTATTAGGAAATATTTATAAATCAAGTATAAAAGAAAGTTTTTTTATAGATATTTTAAAATATTAATAAAATTATTTTAATTTTATTTTTTCTTTATTATAAATATATTATTGTATTTTGATTTTGATCAATTCAAATCTTTAGTTACTATTTAATATTAATATATTTAACTTTGATCTTTTATTGTTTTTATTGCATTTTAAATTAAAAAAATTATAATTTAGATATTATTTATTAAATAAATAAATTTTTATATAATAACTTATAAAATACTTACATTTTTTTATTTTCTATAATGATTTGAAAATTGGTTTTTATGTCCTTTTTTAAATAATAAATAATTATTTTGAATAAAATTCCATTATATCCAGCTTGACCTAATTTTTGTATTAAATCAGCTAAAATTATATTAAAATAAAATATCAAACATAATATAAAAATATAAACTAATTCACTAAAAATATATGCATATTTCAAAATACTTATATGAATATTAAAAAAAATAATAAATTATAATTTACACTCATTTCAAAAGCTGAAGTTCTGATTATTATTTTTATAATACCTAATTTTCATGATTCCAGAATTTGTTGCCATATATTATCACTTAGTCCTTCTATTGTTATAGAATTATCTAATTGTTCTTCCAGTCCTATCTTTAATTCTTCACATTATTCTTTGTAGCACAAAATATGATACCAACTTCACGAATACAATGTACAATTTCTTTATATAAAATCAGTTTGTTTTCATTTCTCTTTCTAACTTCGAAAGCTAATTCATTGTGTTGAAAAAAATTCCTCGAATCATCACAAAATTATTTTCTGGAATTTCTAGTTTTGCTTGAAATGCATACGAGCATAACCAGCATCTTTATTTGTTTGTTAAGCCTCTGGTACCTCAAGAGATTTATTCCAATTTCTAACTAGCCAAGTACCTTATATGCACGACGATGTTTAATATTCTGGTCAACAAGAAATTTATACCAGTTTTTCATAACAATAGTTTATTTTGTCTACGGTCATGTGCTCTATATATAGAGTGATAATTATATACGTAAATTCCAAAACATCGATATATTCAGTTCGCTTTTGCTTGCCTGATTGTCACAATTGCAAACGCATTCGTCAAAGACGTATTCATCCAAAAGAAGTAAAAGATAGTACCTTATTTAACAAATTTGCGAAGAAATCAATAATTTAGATTATATGTTGAACAATTTAGTTACAAGAATATTGTTTGATAAGAAAAAAATAAATTACCAGTTTCTTCGAATAGCAAATTATTTTGTTTGGCCAGTATTTTCGTAATTACTTTCAACAAAGGCAAACTTCTCGCTTCCATCAACTTTCTATAATACCCCAAAACTCGACATCTTTACATGTCAAAGATTATGACAAAAACCTTTACTGCGATGCATCCATTTTATAGTCAAACTAATCGAAAGTTGGACGTGTGATTTAATGACGATATGCATTCTACATTAGTATAAGATTATTAATGCCACCTGATCTTACATATGTCTGATTTCCCCGTTAATCTGCTCCAGGTAATGCATTATTTTTGTTGATGATGTAAAATTAATTACGTGTTCTCGGACTCATTTATATGCATAAATCATCCCATCGAAATCACATGTATGATATATCATTTTATAAATATATATAAAGCGCGCGTCTCATAACCACATCGTGTTATCGTATTATCCCTAATAATTATAAGTTCAGCGAAATAAAAAGTATCCAATGTCATAATGTCATTTTTACGAAAACTTTCTAGCGAATTTGTTAACGGAACGAAAAGAATTTCCGTTGCAGCGACTGTCACCGGCATGAATATGATGTCATCAAGTTCATCGAATATTGGTACAGATGCTGGTGGATTACCACAAGTAAGTATTTTATCTACTTAAAGAGGAATATGATGTTATTGACGTATCTTTAAAAAACAGGATCATCCAGTTTGGAAATTAGGCCGTCTCAATCATCTAGCAATCGCCGTTCCTGATCTTGAAAAGTCGGCGAAATTTTGGCGCGATGTCATGGGTGCAGAATCAGTCAGTGAAACAAAGGTAAAAATAACCATGCTTATATCTTAAAATGGTAAATTACCGTAATTGGTTTAATTTTATTTATTTATTTATCGTTATTTAGCCACAACCAGAACATGGCGTTTACACTGTGTTCGTGAATCTAGGTAACACAAAAATAGAATTGCTTGGCGAATACAATGACCGATCACCGATCCACAACTATTTACATAAGAATAAAAGTGGGGGAATTCATCATGTTTGTATAGAGGTAAATTACTTTCTTTTTAATTACCCACAATCCGTCAATATGCTAAGATAATAACAAAACAAAAAGGTTGACGATGTAGTTGCCGCAGTAAAAGATCTCGTCTCAAAAAATGTCCGATCTCTCGATCCCGAACCGAAAATCGGTGCTCACGGAAAACCGGTCGTGTTTCTACATCCAAGGGATTGTGGTGGTGTGTTAGTGGAGTTGGAACAAGCATAATTTTTATGTGTTGTTGCTCTTTGTTATTTATATATGTGTTTGCGTGTAAATTACCAAATAAATTAAAATTTATTCCAGATACAATAGTATTATTATTCTAACCAAAATTTAATTACAAAGTTGAATTCATTACTCCAACGACTATGTCTAAAGCTCACTAAATAGCAATCAAATCTTTCATATTAAATTTTTGATAAATTATAAAGAACCATGCATGAGGCAATAATATTATTTTCTCACAATATTAACAGTAACGTCTAAGGTAGAAAGGGAGCAAAAAAGCCATCAATATATAACTATACAAATGTTCTAAATAGAATATATTCCTTTTTCTCTAATTATTAATTAATCAACATCCATTTCACTTTCTTTAGCAGTTTCCTTTTTGTTGTTATCTTTTGCACTTCCAGATTCAGTAGCGGGAGTTTCTGTCTGTGGTGTTGCAGGAGTTTCTTGTGCTCCTTGAGCACCTTGTGTTCCAGAAGTTTCAGCAGGTTTAGGTTCTGGTTTTGGTTTAGGCCTGGATACAAATATAAAATATGAAGATTCATTAGCAAAAATGAAAATATGGTAAAAAGCTTATAAGTGAGGATTTGTGGCTTTTTTATCGGTTCTGACCCAAAAATAAATTAATTTCAATATTCGGGAAAATATAAAACTAAAAATAATAGATTGAAATATTTACCTGAAAATAATCGGTGTACAATATTGTACAAGTGCCTTTATTTTTTTATAAAATAGGATTGATTATTAATATAAAGAAAATGAATGAAATCATAAGTAAACATAAAATAAAAGCTTACATCTCGTTCCTTAAGAATTTCATGTGCATGCACGACAGGTTTGTCATATTTCTGCAGCTTCGCTTGTGAAGATATCTTTTCATCCAACCAATGTAAAACTTGCGTCGCCTTATCGACCACACTCTTCTTCTCTTCATCAGAAATATGAGCAAATTTTTCTTCATTATTGGTAGCATTCAACATAAAAGATTGTATACTATCACGCAATTGTTTTTCAGCTTTTGGACGCTCCTCAGCTTCTCGAGATCGCTCGACAATTGGATCACCAAACTTTTTCAAATCGTTTAGTTTTGAGACGTATACGGATTTCGTGGCTTCTTCACCTTCATCGTAAAGCCAAGTTTCTGTGTCATTGAGAAGCTTAAGGAAGGTGTCTTTTTCGTCGGGTTTTACATAAACAGAATAGGTGCTCTCGACTTTTGCGCGCATGTCATACACGTATTCTTCAAGTGCGTTCTTTTGTGTCTCGGTGTCAATTACGAGCTTGTCAGTTGATATCATTTGTGCTTCATTTTCTCGATAAAGTGAGATGATCGATTTGTCGAGAGATGAAGTACCCGAGACGACTGGTATATCAGCTTTCTTTACAATTTTTTTGACTTTTTTGACATTTACGGGTTTTGGAGCTTCGTCACTGGGATCTTGAGGTTGTTGATCAGTGTCCATGGCTTGTGGCTCAGTTGTCTTCGGTTCTTCCTTTTCTTCTTTAATCACCTCTTCAACGATATTCGCACTATCCACCGAAAGAATACCGTGAAGATTAAGTCTTGCTTTCACTTTTACTATACTCAAATCATCAGTTTCTGAGGGTTCAACATTCTTTACAGAGAATCTTCCGATCCATGAATTAATTCCTGGGGGGAGTGCTTCAAGATCAGCATAATGAGCTTCGATATCAAATGGCTTTTTACGATGGAAAGTTAATATTTTGGTAGATGGTATTGCATTTAATTTCGGGAACACGAGAAGCTCAGATTCCTCGTCAGGAATTTCTGGAACATTGTCCCACTTGACTTTGATCGGGTAACTGTATGCATCCTGAATCGAGAAATCTCGCACCTTAAACACTGGCGAAAGAATCGCACATTGGAAGGCACAACCTCGTGCAATGGCTTCGTCTTGATTAAGAGTGAAATTCAACTCTTTGCCAAAGAACTGGGATATGCGCTCTTTTACTGCGGGTATACGTGATGAGCCACCCACCATTTCAACAGAATGAATATCTTCCTTCGTGAGACCCGATTCTTTAAGAGCTTGTTCTAGTGGCACGTGCACACGATCTAAAAGATGTAATGCTAAGTTTTCGAAATCTTCTCGTTTTATCATTGAACTGACGTCGACATCATTCATGACATTTTCCACATTAAGAGGTGCCTGTGAATTCGCCGACAACACTTTCTTCACTTTTTCACATCCTGAGCGAAGCCGGAACAGCGCTTTTGGATTAGACTGGATATCAATACGGTACTTTTCTTTACACACTTCAGCAAAGTGGTCAACTAGTATTTGATCGAAATCACGTCCGCCAAAATGACGATCATACGCGGTAGCCTTCACGCTTAATTGGCCTTTACTGAATGCCACGATCGCCACACTGTAGTTGGAATGTCCAATATCGACTATTGCAACATATCGTGGTTTCTCCTTATCCTCGGGCAAATCCGTCTTCGTTATACCATAACCCAATGCAGATGCCGTTGTGTCATTTAACAGTCGTAGACAATTTAATCCGGAAATTTCCGCTGCATCCAATATACTACGACGTTGAAAATCGGTGTACCATCCAGGCACAGAGATCACCACATCAGAGACCGGAATTCTTAACTCAGCTGATGCAATTTCCTTAAGTTTCGTAAAATACATGGCAACCAATTGGGTGCTAGTAAAAACACGTGTTTCACCAAGATATTGCACCTATTTATTTTATCGTATCGAAGATTATAAATGTGTTTAGATATGGGTCTTTGTAATGAATCGAATATTTTCCCACGAGTTTTCTCATACCTTAACACCAATTTGTCCTTTCTCATCCACTAATTCGGCATTGATGTACTTTTTTTCTGTTTCCTGAACTTCTCTATCGTGGAACATACGGCCTGCTATTCTTTTCAATGATCCAATGGTATTTTTGAAGTTTGAGATTTCCTGAGTTTTCGCAGCTTCTCCTAGATATCTTTGTTTGGGACCAAAAGATACCAGGGAACTATGAGAAGAAAGTAGAAAGTCGATCGGTTAAAATCAATGGATGAATAATTGCGAGGATTATTAAACAGATCTTTTCTGAATAACTCACGGGGTTGCACGATTAGATACTTCATTACATACGACATCAATTCCGCGATTTCGGGCAACAGCAATGACCGATTGTAAGTTACCAAAGTCAAAACCTTTTTTAATTTGGTCAGAAAATGGATATTTTAGCTTTTACCAATCTCAAATGAATAGCAAAATTACAAAAGTAACCGAGGGAAAAAATCACGGACCTACGACAGACATTTTAAAAAGTTGCTTGACAGGTTTTTTGTAAGCCTAAAAAGCTCTATTAGATATAAGGTTATGTGTCTAGTAACATGCGAAGAAGAAAGTTTTATTTTTTGTTCTTGTTCTTCCTGTTTCTCGTCTCGCAATGGATCTCAGAAATTATTGACCAAATAGCCAATCAGTGATTGCGTATGAAGAAAAATCGTGAAGGATCTAGATGTTCCAGTGAATTCTACGACTTTCTCTGTTGGTGGCGTATACATATTCGATTAGAATTTTGAATCATAGACGTAATTGGGTAGCTGCCAAATTAATATCGATATGACGCAAAGGCGAGAGATCCACATGATTAGTCTGGGCTTGAGTCTATTAGCCGTTATGTCACCAAAATGTGTTTTGATTTTTTAGTCTATCTACGTATTTACTTGTTTATTTGTTTGTTTATTTGTTTATTTATTTATTTGTTTGTTTTAGAAATGATCCAGTTGCATATTCAAAACAAATACAATAATAAAGATTACTGTAAAATTACAAAGTATACTACTTAATTTTTATTTGACGATGAAGAAAATGAAATGTCAACATCAGAGTAATATTGGATCTGTACAAGACCGATCACTTTTTTCTGCCGTGACTAGGGTACTTTCAGTTCTGCTTGTTTGGCTCACAACATCACTTTATGCATTTACTCTACCAGAAATCGGAGACCATACAATGGCTGTTCAGCTCCAATACGAAAATCGCATCGGAGTGTGTCTATGAAGGCTGTACTACACCATACCCACTAGCAGGAGATGTCATTGTTTTGTGATCAACAAATAGACTTACCTTTACCAAACTACTATGGCCAACTACATTCAGGAGATTGCGAGTGCAAAAGAAGCTAGAGGAGGAACAGAAGTACCTGATGTCGAGACGGGATTGGTGGAATACGCAAGTACAAAACTTGCAGAAGGTGATAGTTGCTGCCAGTGCCTGACAGGTAACATTTTATGATGCAGGCATTGGAGGTAGAACATAACAAATGTTCCCATTTCGTTTATCCATTCATCCATCCATTTGAGGGAACGTTTGGTATACTGTTTGCGATGTTGACTAACTTGGGCTTTTCTTTTCTTCTTCCTGCATCCTCTTATACCAATATCAAAAGGCGTTTCGGGTGAGTTTATTCCACCTTGCCTATTACGAAGACATGACATCAAAAAATCTGAGGTGACATTGATCAATCCACTAACCTTTATCTATTTCTCCTTAGGCACGCAAAATCGCCATAGCTCTGGAACCAAGCGTGGATGGCTTGAAGATGGAAAGAACAAATATTAGAATATTGTTCTTTTATAGACCAACTATTAAAAGTAAATCAGAGATCGATGTTGAACTAGACATCCAATATGATAATAATTTCGGGTAATCATAATATTATAGAAGTGAAGGGACTTACTTAATTGGAGGCAATCTTTTTGCTGGGAGATAATCAGTGATATCCACAAGGTCAATTCTCCGTCTGTTGTTGCTGTGCATTAGCAATTTCCAAGAGAACAACGAAATGCCCACATACAATGTCAAGATTATGCTAGGTGACCCATGAAATTTTCAGATTGCGCAACAATCGATGTAGATTAAGAGATACGCAAGTAATTTCAATGAGTCATAAAGACAATTTGCCACTGCAAACTTATGCTTGGCTTTTTTCCAAACGGTGAAGGATGTATATTCGGATGGAGGGTATTTAAATTGCAAACCAAACATCATTTGAAAGAATCTATTAGAATATGAAAAGAGAAACGCTATTCTTAGATTCGTTTTCTATTTAAAGAAGATTATAAAGATCCATGATGAAAAATGAAGAGGATGTGACCCAACTCTACGAACCTCTATCTGCTATGAGAAGTTTTGGGCAAGTAGTTCCGTCAGATCCATCATCATCACCTCCATCGCCATCTCCTCCATCATCTTTTCCAAGGAAGAATGTTTGACTGATAATGTGATTCAATATTCTGATATTGAATGGCCACCCGCGCGGGGGGTTGAAGATGGAAAGGTTATGAAAAAAATGCATGATTTTTATTGGCTCGAAGGATTACGCCAATTTAATGATTACTTTTTGTTGCAAGTCATTTTCAAGCATATAAAATAATAAGCAAACACTGTAAATCTGTTTCAAACTTTGAGTTCATTCAAATCATAATAAAAAAGTCTCGATAGACTAAAAACAGCTTTAATACTACTTCGAATTTTTCCTTAGAAGCTGCCTCATACGATTGATGGTATTTCCAATGGATATTAAAAAATCGCGTCTATGACGTTAACTGTACCAAGACATAACCATCTAGCTGTATACTGTATATGGTATTCATTTGCAATAAGGAAGTTATATTTTGTTTCGTTATATCCCTCGCGGTGCATTAGTTCCGAATACTTTTTCATTACAATGATCGAAATGGTGCCATTTAATTGATACGTATCAGCTCCAGTTGACACATTTTTCTCTACCAGGTCAGTCTCGTGAATGTTTTCGCCTATGCAAAATTTAATTTTTGTCGTATAATAAAGTATAAAATGCTCTGACTGAAAGTAGTATTACACATCAAGAATGAAGCTACGTAATCCCCCACATAAAACAGACCCCTCCTCCCTCCCCCTTCCCCCCCCCCCACTATCGTTAATTATATAAAATAATTTTCAATGATGGTTATGTATGATTAATAATACCATTTTTTCCCTCACATTTTATTTAATGACAGCAATATCTACAATCCGTTCGTCTATATTCCCATCTCGCCGTCTTTTCCGCTCTTCCGTCCTCTTTACTCACGTCTCCACCCACCAATATAAATATACTTTTTACGAAGTTAATTGTATGTGTATGCTAATTCATGATGGGACCACAAAAAAATGAATATAATAATGGTAGTAATATACAGTAGAAATAAAAAACGTCAACTGAATAAGTAAATGAGTGTTATATATATGTATAAAGATTTTTGTAGAGTGTCATGTGTCATGATATTGTGTCAAGATTTAGTTAGATATTCTAGGATGTATGATAAAAATATTAATAATTATATAATATAAGAGGATTATGATGGTGTAAGAATAATAGTAGCTTGATACTGGATGTCGAGGAAAAAAAGGGTAGGTAATGGAAGGATCAGGTAAAATGAGCGTAATTATTTGGAATATTAAGTATAAAAAAAACAAGATATAAAAAACATAGCATTAAAAGACAAAACCTTCTTTACATATAACAATATACATAAATACATGTATTGAGATATACATATACTTATATAAAAAAACCAACCAAATAAAATAAATCAATCCAATCATCTTTCAAGATCCAAATATCATTCATTTGATTCATTGAAGTAATCATTGATTTCATTTCATTGATTCAACCAATTCGGGGAAAGACAAAAACCCATAGATAGGCCCGAATCCGGTCGGGATTTGATCATCAATTTTTATTCTCCCTCAAGAGGCATTATTCTTTATCGAACCAGAGACAGGGACCTGAAATTGTGTGTGGTGGTGCATATGCATATACAACAGAAAAAAATAGAGTCGGTCGTCCGACGGTTAACATTACATTACAGAAATTATTTTTTTATGTTTCTTTTTTTTGTTGTTCATTGCCTATATTTGTATATATATATTGTGGGATTTTTGTCGTATAATATATATAATTAATATAGGTGAGAAGAAGTAGAAAAAGAAAAATATAAAATAAATATTGACATCAGAAAAAGCAAAAAATAAGTGGATGTGTGTAAAATTAAATAAGATGCTGATAATAAATGATTATATATAATTTAAGAAGGAAAAAATAATAATAAATGATCTCGAATCACTTTCTAGATTTCCGACAAATCCTCCAACAGTTTCTTCTTCTGTTCCTTGGTGATCATCTTACTCGCCTTTCTGGCCAACAATCTTTCCGTACGATATTGTTCGTAAAAAGATTCTAGCGTACGGTCCTTGAATAATTTACGATGACTCGTCAACAAGACATTTCGGAGCACGACAAAGTCGCAATGTTTCGGATTCAGGCAATCGATAATCCCCCATGGGAATTGACGCCCGCGAATTCGTTCGCTGGTATTTGGGTCTGTGATGATTGCGTCTTCGGGCGCGATTAAGGAGAATGGGATCATAGATTGGAATGAGGATGCTGTTTGTTCTTGTTCCTCACCGTCTTCTAACTCTTGATCTATGTCTGTGTCTTCTTCTGCTTCAGCAAATTCAAATACGGGGATTTGATGGAATTTCAGATCTCGATTGATTGTCTTTTTTAAATTGGCAAGTTGTGATGTGGTTAAAAGATCTGCTTTGGCGACCACTGGTATTACATTCACACGTGCCGTTAGACGCTTTAGAATGCGAATATCTTTATCAGTCAGACCATTATTCGCATTATCAATGAAGTAAAGACATGCATGAATTTGACTATCTAGAGCTTTAGGATTTCGTTTAACTTTAGTTTCCTGATACGCAAGAAAAAAAATAATTATTAGAAAATATATTCATTCGAAAATAAATTTATTCAATTACTCCCCTCTCCCAACAAACCTCGGCTAATGTTAAATCGAATTGAGCCTCAATATAACGTAAGGCCTCGGTAACTTGAACATCAAGTCGCAATTCATTATCTTTAATGAATCCAGGACAATCAACCAACGTCAACGAAATCTTTTCATTTTCTTCCTCGACGTCCAACGTAAACGAGTATAACTCCTTTGTACTTGCAGCTTCGGCGTCTCCTGGTTTCTCGGCAGTTTGAAACAGCGAAGCCGGTAACTGAATGTTATCTTCTCGTCGAATACGAAGTGTATCGAAAAGCATACGAATAAATGACGTTTTCCCGAGGGATTTGAAGCCGACCACCATTAAGTTGAGTTGGGAGATGGCGTGCTTTCGACGACGTGAACGTGGAGTCATTTTCGTCATTCAAATAATATTTGTATGCCTATTTTGGTTTGGTGTGCGTATTATTTATTATGCTATATTTTTGTTTTTACTTTTTCTTCGCCGTAACTATTCTTGTATATGTATGCGTTTCTAAAACGAAGTATCTTGGGCTAAGATTGAAAAAATAACTCAAGTCGTCACACTGGGTGTCTATGCAGTGAGAAGAAGAGAAATAAAATGATAATAATAATAATAGAATAAAAATACAAAGGAATGAAGTGGTTGTTATGAAACAATCCTGTGAGGGTTTATTAATCCCAGATTTGTCTCTGGTCTCTGTCTAATAATGACAATATGTTTTTTATTATATGTTAAATAATAACACCTCGTCCTTTTCGCGCGACAGTGAGAAAAGTATATGCAGTAGTATTTCAAATCGCTCTCTCGTAGTAAGTAGTATTAGCTATTTGTGCGAGCGTGTGCTAGTGTGTGTAGTTCGTTGTATACGACGCACACACTTTCTCGAGGTTCTGGTGGTAGTTTTGAATAATAAATGTGGTGATAAATTTAATTTTATTTTGAACAAATAAAATAATCAACAGCAGCATTCAATAGAAATATTATCAATGAATGTCCCGCGACATGTAAATAACCCGGTATTCAGATATGCATCCTGTATGTCTAGGCGTCGAAAAATAACGTAATACTCGACAATACTGTATATCGATATATACCACAGGTAGGATAAAGGTGCGACCAGAGAACATAGATATCAAGCGATGATGTTGATTGGATGATGGAATCGAAAAAAAGATTTGTGCCATGAAGGATGCATATATATGGCAGCTTGAATAGAATAAATGAAATTCATGTCTTTAATAGTGAAACCGCTTTGTAACGGATGCCCGTGACACAAGCCGATTTTTGGAATATTTCTTGAAACAGGCCTTTCCCAGTTCTTTATTTGGACGATGTGAGCATTTTTCTCAAACACCTTTACGTTCGTAATTTAGCAATAGCACGGAAAATTCTGCTGAAGTTCTTTTTGGGAATGCATATCATTAGCAATGGGTTGAAATAACGTGATGTCAAATTTTCCGGAAGAACTTGAAGAACCTCGCAGGATTACAAGCAATTTCTCTAACGATTAGAGCAATTGTTATCGATCATTTCTGGAAATACCAACCATATGCTAATTGCTAATAATAGCGTTGACAGAGTCCTTGAAACTTGATCAAATCAGCCAATTGCACCACTTTATTCGATACTTTTTGCTACAAGATCAAGGATGAAAATTGAGCAATCAACTTTTTTTGGGAATTCGCTAATAGGATGAAACTTGAGCAACAGCATTCGAATATCCAATCAAAAAAAGTTGTCCCTGAACTGTCTCAAATGTCACCCAGTGATAACGAAGCTGGTGCTTTTTAAGAGACTTATTTAGCTGCAAATCATGATGGCTTGAAAAATAGTTCCGTCTTCTAATCTTAGCTTCAGCTCAGAACTTCAAACACGCAACAGCGATTTAAGGGATAACATTAACCATATAAGGGTCAGCATCGTGGCAATGCTCCTAATGGAGTAAAACAAAGGTCCTTCAAAAGAATCATGAAATTATCAACTCCCTTTTAGAACAACGTTTTACCAAGTCTATAATCTCATTTCAAAATTGATAAAGGTCTGGGACTGGCAAGATATAAAAAAATTACTCAATTATTATTCTTCATTAATTGACAGGTCATACAAAGTAAGACATTATCTAAACGCATTGATTATCTAGCTGACTAAAAAAAATTTGAATATGCGCTGTGCACGTAGTTTTGGAATGTGCGTATCGTCATAATAGATGCTGCATCAGATTGCGCTACACAGTCAAAACTTGAATTTTTTACGCTGTTCGTTGATATATTGTTGTTCATTGCTTCTTTACTATTCACCAAGATAACGATGAATCTTATTCCAATTCACTGTAAATAAACAATTCATAAGACTTGCTACCTTGCCTTCTTCCAACCAAATAAAAATATAAAACTACCCTCTTTACGATGAACCTACCTAATAGTTAAATTACGGGTCTTTGGAAAAAACACTCGTTACATTACCCTTGCCCTAATTTAAATCAGACACGTGAATAATATTACCGACCAACTAGAAAAATTTAAACTTGGAGAATCACCAGAGATTCTCCATGTTCTAGGATAAATTTGGATTTTGGCCAGCATTAATAGATTAAGCCATAATTCATGCCAAACACATGACCAATAAACTGGTATTTCACCCCCATGTTTATAACGTTAAGGTTAAAATTAATATTGCCATGATCGATTGGCACCTTTTTTCTGTGTCGATCTAGACACAGCAACCAATAAGAATGCGCAAATTTTTGTCGATCTTAACCCAACAACCAATAAAGATGGGAAGCAGATGCTTAGTGCACTAATCAAAAATGTCGGCAGCCGTAGTTTTGTATATATATGCTTAGTCACATCAAATATGCTGAAATTTTTGCAGATTATTACTTCTAAATTGAATATGATTGGTCAGGATTATTATAAGTGTAATTATTTCTAAAAAACGCATTATTTAAAATTGTAGTAAAATAAGTTACTTGATAGTACTTATCAAAAATATTGGATGTCTTTGAGCTGTTGACACCATATATATATATATATATATACAGTATATATTTTTTAATATTGCCTAAATTAATTACGGCATTTGGCCGCAATTATGAAGCCAATGAAAATGCAGCATTTAGAATATACACATAATGTGAATCCTGTTTCACGTGATTTTTAATGTGAAAGCATGGAAAGTCAATCATGTATTTTTGCATGAAGAATCCAACCAATCAGAAATTGTCCATATGATATGATATAGCCAGTGCTGAAATTGATATTCTACTGTGCAAAAAATACGTTACATTTTGGTTCTTATCAAAGTCATTTAGCAACGTAATTTTTTGAGACTGAAATGTTTGGATGGCTTGCGCTGTAATATCGATATATCGATATTATCGATCAAATCACTGCAATCATGTGATTGTCTATTGTTAAAAATTTGGGAAATGCACCACGCGGGTACCCTGTCCATTGTCCCGATTATCGTGTGCATAACCATTGTAACAACTTTCCAGAAAAAAGATCGCGGCGTTATCAATCGATCAATACATACGCGTCAACTCGCACCAAGGATTCATTAAATGATTTTCTTGATACGGCAGACAATGATCGTTATTGTCAGTCTTTTATTTTCAACTTCCAGAGCCTAAAATTGTGGTACAGTATGGAAATCGATATCATATTTGATATTGGTACCCAAAATCATACCATTGTTGCTTTTCACGGCTCGGAAACAAATCGATATATATTCCGACTTTGCATCCTATTTCAACCAAAGTCAAGTGTTTTACCGTTTCAAAGTCACACCTCGAATTATTATAACAATTGTCGCAAACGACCAATATTTAAGAGATGCAACAACGCCAACTTCATTCGGAGAATCATAAAAAGGAACAGTCTGTTCCTTGTTGTTTTTGTAACCTCGTTGCGTCCGTAGCATACTCGGACAGAGGAGTAATTTACGAATGCCACTATCGACACGTAAACCCGTGGCAGCAAGCCTTGAATCCACCATTCGAAAACGACTGTTTAAGTCGTCGGGTGAGTTTGTCGTTATTTCTTGGAAATATAAACATCGGTCGTGAAGGAGAAATAATGAGAATAAATTTTAACAGCAAACGGATATCAGAATATGCGCGTTCCATGTCCACGCTAAACCATGGTTCGAGATGCTATCAAAAGCTGATCGACCAAACCAACATAAAGAACTATCCAAATGCGCCTATTTCAACTTAACCTTTTGCGTCTTGTTTAATATCAATAATACTTTTGCGAAGCGTTATTTATTTGCGCCCAAATGCAACTGTGGAAACCCAGTAGTGTTGGACACCTCGAAAAGTACCGGGAAATTGATTTTTTTATGTAGGAATTATTGTGATATTTCTGCTTGGCCTAGATGTTCGTGGAGTCATTTGGCAGAGAATGTTAGATTCGACAACACCAATTTCAATATCCATCCTCTAATTACAACCAATACAACTAAACTATTGGAAAATGTATCGGGAAATAATTTTGTAAATAATAGAAATCACAACTCATCCTCATCCGATCAAAATGAATTTGTATCAACATCTGTCACGAATTACTCTCCACAAAATCAACGATTACCCAATCACAATTCACCAAAGTCCAATTCAATTATAGTCGATCAAACGAAACAATCAACCAACACGTCGACCACGAATAATCATCTTGCTGATTCATCCAGCATGAACAATACTTTTATAATTGATCAAGAGCAAAATACTTTGTCTAAACTCGCAAGAGGAAAATCTCATACGTATGAGCGGAATGCACACTATCCACCAGAATCACCAACCATCCAAAACTTTTACTCAGATCAGATAAGTTCACCAAGTTCAAGACTAAATAATAATAATGAAGCGTCGTGCTTAAATGACACGCGTCAATCTCAATATGAAGGAAATTTTGAAGAAAAATTCGAAGAATTATCCCAATACTTGAATGTAAATAAATACTCTTTGATTATGATTATGATTATGATTATGATTTCAATAGAGCTTTTACTTTCATGATATATGATTTTAATAAATTTATTTTCATGTTTTAGTTTATTCTATTAGAAGCCGCTGCAGAAAACCAAAACCTTCTTGCCACTATCGAAGAATTAGAAGCGAAAAACCAATCCTTAGAAGAAAAGTACGAGGAAAAAATCAGACAAGAGGATGAACATCGTAAACTACGAAAACGATACAATAAAATACGAATCGAAAATCAGGAACTGTATTCGAAACAAAGCACACTAAGTAGCGAACTGGAGGACGTTCGTCATAGTAAACATTTACACAAAGTAAAAAACTTTGAATTGTCCGAGAAAGTTAAAGCGTTGCAAAATGCCGTCGAAGAAAGTTGGCGATGTCGCATTTGTTATAGTGAAAATATTTCACATGCTATGCTTCCTTGTCTCCATTGTGTTACTTGTGAGTCGTGTTCTCAACAAATGGACAAATGTTCCATATGTCGAGAACCCAAGGAAAACACCATTCGAATCTTTTTTTGATAATACGATGTTCCCCTTTAAATTATGTTACGTGCAGGAAATGTTGTACATTTTGAATCGTTGCGTTATTGTATTAAATATTTGATTTTATTAGTTCGTATATAACATTATTCGATCGTCAGATCAAATGAAGAGTGGTTATCGAAGAGAAACATGTCACAAATTACTATCACACATATTACTACAGGAAAGAATAAAATAAAGAATTCATTATTACATAGCTAATGATTGAGTATATTGCTTGTGAAATTGGATTTTAGAAAGAAAAGATAGATATATAGTATTTATAGCTGGAACTGGAAAAAGATGTAGGGAGTAACAGTAATTTTTTGATAGATAGATTTCAGAGACGTGAGTCACTTGATTAATCACCAAATCAACTTCATCGTCTCATTTAACACTTTTCGCTTGATTATGAATCAGCTATAGTTAATTATCTATCTATCTCCTTCAACAGAAGCAAAATAAATTATGACAAAAACTTGGGAACCGTCATTCTGACGACGCGTTACTATTGACGCGTTAAATGTGTTGATCACCTATTCGTATCACTCTTTTAGCCCCACTCCACTTTTCACTTTTACTCTCTTACACAAACTCCATATATATATGTGTGTGTGTGTGCGTGCGGTCAAAATAATTTTGGTCTTGACTCAGTTAATTGCGTCAATTGACACAATAATTTCGGCAACACGTATAATGTCAAAACAAATTCTCGAAGGTGCCTGAACGTCTAGAAAATGATGGCAAATTTAACAAATTACATAAATTTATTTGATTTCGTTTGCGCTTAATTACGTGAACGACCATAAAACAAACTGGCACGAAATCATTCATAATGCACTTTCACAATGTCAAAGAACAAAGGTATGAACTTTAGATAATATAATCTATAATATATGAAACATAATAAGATGGTCAATGATGAATAATGAAATTTAATGTTTTCAATAAAAAACGAATCGAATACGAAAATTCTGGGAAAAGTTTGCTTCGATGCAATGCAATAACAATAAACTGATAGCAATACAGAAAAGTTCTTCGAATTCTTAAGAAGAGAAGCATACAAACATGGTCTAAATAATTGCGCAAAGCTCTATGGCATCAAGGCTGATATCAGAAAGGCTTACAGGAGTATCACTGGTCGAAAAGTATTATCTTTACCTGATTAATATCACGGTTAAATAATAGTGGAAAATGCTTTTTATTAGGCAAAACAAAGCTTTTCGACCAGTGTGTGTATAATACGTTGAATAAAGATTTTTTCTTCCAATACATTTATTGCTGCTGAATGAGAACTTTTAATAAAATAGTTTCGTAATTCCCTTCAAAACAAGAATTTGCTGATTTGGATCAAGACGATCCAACATTATCCGGAATCCTGGATATAAGAAGGATTCCTCGAGCAATAAATCAAATTGCAATTAAGAGAGCTTTGACGGCCACTCGAAGAAAAATTGATTTTGTTGGATATTTGAAGATTATATTGAACGGATTGTTCGATGACCAAATCCTCGACGAATTCTATAGATGAATTTTAAAAGAATATCGTGCAATTAGAACTTTGATATATTACGTGTTTGTATTTAATTTTTTTGAAAAAAATCCTTGTGATTCACACACACTTGCTCTCTTTTAAGGAAAAATCCAACATATGAATGCGATGAAATAATAAACGAAACTACTTGGAATTATGACGCCATATTTCCAATAATGTATTACTTAATACATGATCTTAGGTGCGTTATCATCGTTATTTTTAAAAGTATCCTTTATGATTATATAAGTTTTATATCTTTGTAGGAATAGTCGGATCGTTCAATCGTCATCCCTCATCCATTGGAGACAAAACAATAAAAGAGAACTTTCAAGGCTCTCAACAAAGCGTAAACGACAGATCATATTGTTATGAACTAATATTTGAAGAAACTTTATTCAGACCAGGACATCCACATTCGTACAATCGAGAACATATAATCGAAGATCAAACGAAATTGGGCAAGTCGGTTAAAGCTTCTTTCGAATCATTTTTTGCATTTAATAGTAATGACCGTTTGAAATATATGAATACCTATGTTCCGGTAAATGCAGAGCATCAATATTCTTTTACAGGTTAAGAGAGTGTCTTTTATCAGGCGATTTCGATTTACTATAACCTTACCCCCTCCATCCCCCACTTGACATAATATAAATTACAGGGGTTAACATGAGTTGGATCCGACCTTCCACCCCCCCTCAATAATCAGGTGATAAAAGACATTCCCCTTGTCATATTACATCATTGAAGCAAATAAAAATCAATAAATAGTATTTTTTGATGGTATAGTCAATCATAGGCTTCGACAGATATATCTGGTCTTCTGTTCGTTCGTTAAATTGATAATTTGTTGTCGAAGTGTGTTTCTTTCCTGCATTAATTCATTTAGTTAATAAATCAATGTCTGTTCTAATTTCCGAGTTAAATCATTGAATTGAATTTGCATATCTGTTATTTGTCTTTGTTGTTCGATAATCTTATAGGAGATGTTTCTTTCCTCAGTTGGATTAGTTATTTGTTATTTAAGTCCACACAAGGGAAATTTGTTAGCAGCATCAGGCGATTATTTTCATTTCCTGATTTGTTCTAAGGTTTGAATATTTCTTTCTTGCTTGGCTAATTCTTGTTGCAAATCATTAATCTCTTGACTAGTTATCAGTTTGAATTGCTCGTTCAGTTATTAGAATAGTTCCTGGTCTGACTATAATAATGTCCTCTTCGTTATCAATAGTAATAGCGCCGCTTCCTGGTTCTCTGTCTAATACTCTTCGGGCAATGTAAATCGTGCGCTAACAGTTCTGACCACGAGCTAATCCTCGTTGCACCATTAACTCGAGAGTTATATCAAAATAAGGATGCCTGCTCTGGCAAGTAAAGAAGTACCTTTCATGACCAGGCTTTCCAAAGTCTTCAGCAGAACCTAAATTATTCCATCAGTGACTCTTTAGTTGAACAAAATCAGCTGGGATTAACTTTCTTTCTTGTTGAATTACTCCTTGTTCTGTAGTCATGGTAGTGATGACATCGACAAATCCTCTTCGTCATATGGGTAATTCTCTTCGTATTAATTCTCTTTGACTTAATAATATTGATTCACCCATATATTTTGGAAAAAAAATACAAGGTGATTGGAGAAGAATTATCCGAATATTTATTAGATATCTCGAATTTAATACGAGCACCTATAAAATTAATATCGATAAATAATAATTCTGAACGCGCTACTTTTTAAAGTTTCTTTTCAGTATGTTGTAGAGTCCCTTTTAATTTTTATTTTCTAGTTTAACGGGTAATTCAAGTTGAAAATCAGCAAAAGATTAAAATCTTATGTGCATCTTGAGTTGTTTTTTGCTCAAGACACCCTCAGCTTGGTTTATATATAGTCTCCGACGAAAGTAATTCTCCTTTTATACCAAGCCAGATATATTATAATAATTTTTTTTCTCAAAACATTTATTTAATTTCATGTTCCTTATTTTTTTTATTTTTCTAATTAATATATAGTTAAAATTTTATATAATTATCAGTTAAAGTAATAATTTTATAATTAAAATTCTGTCCAGATCAAAATATATATGACATTTTTCAAATATTGCAAATATATTTTAGACCAACAACCATCATATATTTTTTTCATACCAGCATTTTCTAAAAAAACTAGTTATATAATAAAAATTATATTGTTATTACTTTGCTGAAAAGTGTAATTTTACTTTTTGTCAGTCAATTTTCATTTTGTACAATGAAATTGATAAATAAATTAAAATTAAATTTATATACAAAGATTATTTGTTATTCAATTATTCAAAAATTGTATAATTTTGAAACTAAATTATATTATCAAGAAAAATTTAATAATAATAATTTTGTTTTTAGCTAATAAAAAAATAAAAATCAAATATTTTGTCTATATACTAAATTCTCAACAATAATAAAATATAATTGAAAAATATATTTAAAATAATTTATAACAAAAAATTATGGCTTTTAACAACTAAATTTACAATTTTTTAGTCTTTAAAAGTTAAAATAATTATAAAACAAAATTCAAAATTCATATTTTTTAAAATAATATTTTAGAATTCGATTTAATATTATAAATCCTAACCTAAATTGAAAAAATTCCAATTCTATATCAAAACAATGCATAATATTTTCATTATTTTTCACTTTGACAATACAATATTGATTTTTTGATCTCTGATAATAATATCATAAAATCTTTTATAATCTTAATTTTTAATAAATGCTTTTCTTGCTGAATATACAATGAATCGAACTTTTTTTATTAGATAATGTTGCATGAAAACTATTTGACTTCTTTTTTTATTGTGTTTATTAAATTTCTATTAGGAAAATGCAACTATTAAGAATGGATGTAAATTCATTAGCTTTTTAATTTTCTACTTCTATCAAAGATTGATTTGGTTAACAAAAATGTGACGTGTCAAAAACCCGCATAAATGATCGCGTGACCGCAGCTTTTTTTGAATTTATTTCATTAAATCTTGTACATATAATAGAAACAGTTATCGACGATCAGGAAGGAGAACAAAGACTAGCGATCAGAAACTCGATAAAAATATATAATAAAAATTATTGTTTGCGCGTGTTGATTCCCTTTTATTAGTTAAAATTCATGGATATGTGATTACTTTTACTGTTAAAATATATGATTAATTTTCACAATAATTAAGAGAAAAATTCAAGATAGGTATACTACTATGAGTAATTAATGATGATTATGGTATTAGTGGTGATGATAATGATGGTGATGGTGAATGGTGGTGCTAATTTGATGCTGCTGTTGCTGCTTGCTAATACAATGATTCATCGTTCGGTTTTTTCCGTATGTAAGATGATTATTATTCATGTTGTTAATATTACTGTATTAATATTATTAGTCGATACACCCATCCAAACTATCGATATATCGAAAAAAGATATATCACCCTTTCCATTTTTTTCATCCGTTGTTCTTTTTCGTGGTTGTTTACCGTTTCAACAAATTCATTCGTCCAACAACCCCTGTCCATCTAAGTACTGTTTCAGGTTGTGATACAGTTCAAGTTGTGACGACGACTGGAGGTCATTGACTACTAGTTCGAGGATGGAGCCGGTTGAAATGGAGATACATTTGTGTGCGTATGTCTGTTTTATTATTCCCATCCAAATGTAAGACGCAACATCCCATAATCGAAACAACATCAAATAGAATAAATCAATAGTTCATTAATCGAAGATTAGAATAAAGTGCAAATTGAATAAAGTACCTTGATGAAACTCTGATAATACATGAACGAAAACATCCCCATCAGGAACTGACAATCCATCCGATCTGTCATTCCACCGTGTCCAGGAATAGAGTCTCCCCAATCCTATATCAATAAAGAATTAATGAGACATACTAAGAAAACATACACAAATCCAGTCAGGAATATATGAAAAGTAAACAACTCGATGGTGATTATTATATGATAATGATGATGCATCTAATAATTACTCTACCTTTCTTCCTAAGGCTCGTTTTAGTCCACTAGCAAAGTAACCGCCGAACGGTGCAATTGATGACGCGAAACACGCCATCACAAATACATGCCACTGAAGAGGCGCAATCCATACACTACGAATATCGCTATGTGTCTTTTTTTTTGATAAATTCCCAATGTTAATATAAATTTATAAAAGAACAACGGAGAGAAAATATATTTACAACTCGTCTAAACAGCCCCGTTAGCCATGGTTTCAGTGCATATTGTTGAGGAATGAATACTGGGTTAATATCACATTGTAAGCCGGTGAATACATTTGCGCTGAGATCCTAATTGATGCGGAGAAATTAGTGTTGATGTAATCCCGAGAAATAACATTTATTAAATAATTGTTACCTTTACTGGACATATCATGTAATTCCATCGCATAAGAAGTGAAGCCCACTTCAAATAAGAAACAATTAAAATATTATTCATGAAATCAACAGGACATATAACATATAACAAAGTCACTCACCAACAGACCAAATATGATTGTACATATCCACGCCCCAACAAATCCCTCGAACGTCTTATTTGGACTAAGTTGTAACAACATCCTGTTTCCGAAAATCTTTTTTCCGAACAGTTTTCCGCAGACATATGCGAAAATATCGTTACATATCACCAGAGACACAGGAAGTAAAAACCTAAGAAATCATTAATGTATCGATTAAGATTTATATGTCGTTCGATATATGTAGTTGAATGATACATTTCAAAACAATAAATACAAAATAACCGAAAAAAAAGATTGAATTCACGTACCAAATCATTCCCTCGAAAATATTATTAATGATGAAATGACTTTGACAAACAACAATTAAAAGTGTCATGTGTGTCCACCCAAATTGTCGGAACTGGAATTGATAATGACCTTTTTCGAGATTTGCTACGAAGACGACAAATCCTATGAATCAAATATACATATATATATGTGTATGGTAAAAAAATATTAGAATGTTAAAAAATTCGCGTGCGTAATAAATAAAATAAAAAAATAAAAACCTATACAATATAATATAAAAGATATAAAGCGGTGATGCGTAGCAAACGGTAAAAGAAAAGCGTCGACCAAGAGTGCTTCTCTAAAGTAATAGATGATGGATTCCCCATATAGAAAGTAATTTGTACTGGCAAGGAAATACCTTTAATAAACAAATACAATCAATTGGCATTAAAAATAAACACCAATAACCAATAAATGATTCTCCTTAATCTTCTCTTACCAATTCAACGTTCTAAACCATGGAAGCTTTTGTTCCTTGCTTGGAACCCCGAGCGCAATCACTTCTTTATATACCATTGTCTGGATAGCAACCACCAGTATGATGACCCATACGTGTCCGGCCGCTATTGCTGCAAAAAATCCACCAATCATTATAAAGGTCCATATTGTCCGCTGTATCATATTCCGCCAATTTTTGTTTTTGGCTGTAATGGTTTTTTCAGAGAGTCGCGCGCTTGAGTCTTCCTATTAGGATAAAATTATAATGATTGATTATTATTATATTTTTTGATTTGTTATAATTGTTTATCATTGGGCAGGTGTAATAATGAGTATCCACGCGGTAACCTTTTCTTAAAGAATCAAATTTATAATACCTTCATTATATTTTGATAAACTATGATACAAAGAAGGGTGTGTAAAAAACCAAGTATAAACTTTCTTTTACAACCTCAAAGGATTCCTCCATTTGCAATTCCCACTTCCAAAACCCTCAAATTATTTGAATGAGTAATTTTATCAGACATGCGTATATACCTCTGTCTTTGAGCTTCCATTAGATTTTGGATGATATGGCTCGTCAGAAGCTTCGGAATGCGTCTCGCTTCCTCTACCTCGTCGTTTCTTTGGCATTTTGTTTATTTTTATTACTGAAACTTTGATCAACCGTTTATCTTTTTATTAAGTATGATTACTAATACAAGGTAGGAACTGAACACGCGTCGATTTTACCCTAGCCACGAAATGTAAGTCAAGCTTCTCGTGTCGCACAAGAGAACTTTGTATTTGTAAAGTCGCGTTAGTTTGAAGAATGTCGTCATTAATGGTTGTAAACCACTATGAAATTGGAGTTCTAATTGCGTAGTTTGTTGTGACAATTTGATCTGTATCGGTATTTGCTGTAATATTATATATATAGATTCTCAGCACGCATGTGTAACGAACGGGAAGTTTTATCCCCGGATTATGGCTACTTGTGGGAAGAAATAATGTGCCGTGTTATTTATGTCATCATGCATTTATGCACGCAAGGCAAAATTAATGTTATTTTATAATCTTATCATTATAGATATAATTTTGAGGATTTGATATGATTTATTTTTATTTTTTGAATCCTTCTCTCCTCCCAAAGTTATTTCTTTTTTTACTCTTTAAACATGTCATAGTTCCATTGTTCAGCGGGTGGTTGTTCTTCAAGTGACTCCCACCTAAAAAAATCAATCAAAAAATCAAATTAAATAAAAATGCGCGGCATCACATTATTCGAAAATAATTCACAATAAACTACGTATAATCGTGAAAGACAAAACCTATCCAACTCCACCAAAATCTTCTCAATCATATAAAAACTCGACTAAACAAAATCAATGCACTCACGGTTTCCATTCTTCCATCTTAACAGCCAACGTTTTCTCGTCTTCCGCCTGTAAAATCACCTCTTCAATCTGTCCAGCACCGACACCTTTCTCAATTTCGTTAATGTCCTCGGTGGCCTCGACAATTGACAGTCGGTGTTGCGTCAATGCTTCTGCAGCCTGTCGATAGATGGCATGCTCGGGAAGTCGTGAGAGGACTTGTAGCGTTTCGTTATATGTTTTTATTAGGTGCGGGCGTGGGTGTGGGTGTACTGCTAGCCCGAATATACCGGTTGTTGTCTAGAGGATCGGAAAGTTGTTAGTTTGGTGATTGAAATAAGGAAGAGTTATTTAGGTCTACCTTCTTTATGGTGCTTAGTAAAAATCGTGTAACTTTCATGATTATAGATTATCGTTATTGATAAACGAATTTCTATCAAATATATAAACTATTACATATATGCACATCTGAAAAATAAGAAAACCAAGTATAAGTGAAACTCGATATAAGAAACTATTTCAAAGCCCAATTCATTAAATATCTTTCGTTATAAGAAAGCTAATAATAATATATTGCTCCCTTATGTCACAGTAACAGTAGTTAGTTCGATATGATGCATAACATTTAAACTCATCAATAGAATGTATTTTATAACTTCAATGAACTTTTTATGCATCGTAGACATATTATTGAGATATTGCCTTCACGACGTCCGCGATACCTCCAATTCTACAACTCGTCGAGTTAGTACCTACAATTCATTGTATAATCAAATACTGAATATTTGATCAAATTCAACAACTTGCATATTATCTTTTTTTTGAGCCAGTATTTGGTATATTCGACCTAATGTTGGAACTTGCGGTTGCAAATATGTGGCTCGTAGGGCATTGAATTCTTGTAATGCTTCAACACCACCAGGTATAACAACGTAAGAGATTTCGACACAGAGAATCTTGAGCAGGGATAGAAGAGTCTTCAAAAAGCTAGCGTAATGCTTCAAACATATTATTAAGCACCACGGTCTTCTAAATGTCTGGTTCTTCGTCATTCTTGCGTTTAGCTCAAACATTGCTTTCCCATTCGAGGACCAACTGTTGAGTCTCTTTACCGAAGTTTTTCATAAAAGTTGGTGTTTCTTGTTTGCTATAGTATTTTATGAAGCCTGGAGTGTTGTATAAGCTGTTAAATAAACGTGAGAAAAATAGCAATCATACCCAGGAACTAACCTTAAGAATAACTGGTGTAGAAGCAAGAGAAAATGGTTTTTAATGTTACTACTATTTCTTTTAATAATATCCAATATTTTTAAGAAGTAATACAAAATTTAATTCATGAATATGATAGAATAGGTTCTTTCTGAGAATTAAATTTTGAACTTCTTAATAAAGTTTAAAATATTTATTTCGGATTTAATACATAAATTATGGTTTTTGTCATTAATATAAAAGTATACAAAATATAATATTTCCTGGAATATTAAAAAAAGTTATTTATATTTCATTATATAATACTGTTACTAGAATATTTATACTTATAAATATTATTATTATTTTAGTTTGTTTTAAAATAATTAAATCTAAAAAATCTCTTTAAATTAATAGCTAAATTATATTATTTTTATATTATTTGATGATTTTACAAATATTATTTTTGCTATAATTATTATACTAATTTTGCTATAATTATGATGCTGATTTTGTTGTAATTATTATATTAGTTTTTTTATGATCATTTTCATTATTAAAAATATTAATAAATAATATTTTATAAAACTAATATTCAATTAAATATAACTAATTTTAAATAATAAAATTAATTAAATAACATTCAATTAAATTATATTATTATTACTATTTTCAGAATCATTGCTTATAATGATATTTCTGAAAAATAGCAGGTAACTGTATTTATGTGAAAGAAATCATTATTCATATTTTATTTATTATTTGCATTATTTATTTATTATTTGTATTATTATTATTTTTGTTATTTGAAAAATGTCAGGAAGGTATTATATTATTTTGATTTTTGTGTTGCTAATTTATAAGAAATAATATTTATTTTTATTTTTGTATTTGTATTTTTATATAATTATTATTGACTAGTACTTTAGGAAAGTCTTGATAAATATTATAATAGTTATTATTACTGGTACTTTGAAAAAGTCTTGATGATTATTTATTTTAATTTTGTTAGTTTCTTGTTAAAGTTATGTCTAACTCGTTATTTTAATCTTGTTAAGCTAATATAATTAAAAGATCAAAATAATATAAGTTATAAATGAATTTTATTTGATATTATTAAAGAATATTATAATAAAATATGAATTGGTAATTTAATAATTTGATAATGATATTAAGTTAAAATATATACTGCTTATATATATATATATCTTAAAAATGATTAATTAAAATTTAATATATTCTCATATATTATGAGTAATATATAATATTACTTTAATTTATCAAGTATTACACATTTAAATCTGGTATTAATATATATTAAAATACTAAAATACTATTAGTACTCCTTTACTATTATACAATAAAACTAATTAAATATGAAATAAACTTAATATAGTACAAGATAATATTAATATAATACTAAATATATGAGAAAAACTAATTAACTTATAATAATAAAACATATACTAAATCTTAATAAAAATAATTTATATTAAGTATATATATGATATAAATCTAATTTATAATAAAGAACCAATTAAAATATCTTAAATAAAAATTAATTAGATTCATAATAATTATTATTCTTTGTTAAATACTATTATTATATAAGAGAAATATTACTATTATAAATAGATATTGAACTTCTCAATACTATATTTATTTAATTAATTTTTTGCTCTAACATATTAACAAATAGCTAAATAATATATAATATATTATAATGATAATACTATAAATTAATTAATAAAATATAACTAATTAATAACTAAATATTCATATTATAATAGATTTCTTTTTGTTAAAATTTTATTTTATAAAATAAAAAAATAAAATAAATATATAAAATTTAAAATATAAAAATATAAAATATATAAAAATATAAAATAAAAATTATATTTTTGAAAAAAAATTTGGTAAAAATTTGGTAAATATTTTTTTTGTTAAATATTTTTCTTCATAAAATAATTAATAATTCAAGTTTTAAATATATAATAATATAAAATTTAATTAATCTCAAAATAATTAATAGCTTAGTTAATAATTTATCTTTTAAATTATATTATACAAAGTTTTAATATAAAGATATTACTATTATTAATTTCGTAATATAGATAAGAGATCAAATATAAGAATGTATAAGATAATATAACTTCACAATAGTGACAAGAGATTATAAAACAAATACAAGAATAACTTCACAATTAAGATGAGAGATTATGAAAAACTATTTAAAGAATTATTAAAAGAATATAAAACTTAATTGATTAATTATTAATTTATTATTTTTTTGATTAAGCTAAAATACAAATTGTATTTGATAATTATAAAATGATTATTTAAAATAATCATTAGGAGTATTTGAAATGATCATTTGGAGTGCTTGAGATGATTAGTTGGAATGATCATTTGAAATAATTATTCAAAGTGATTATTTGAAGTGATCATGTGAAGTGATCATATAAAGCAATCATGTGAAATGATCATTTGTGATTATGAAAAATATCTAATTACAACAATATCAATTAATCAAGATACAGCTAACAAAATAATTTGCTCTATAAGTTATTATATCAAAATCAAATAAACTTAAAATTTAATTACATTTCTTTATAATTAACATCTTGCACATAATTAAATTGATTTATTTTTAATTATCTCATTAAGGATATAAAGCACACTTAGAATATATTTATATTAAAAAAATCCATAATATCTTTTAGTAATAATAATAATAGTAATAACAATACATATCTGTTAGTTAACAAATTCATGTTATGACTGAGTTTAACTATCTTAACATAATATTATTCACATTAATTTAGTATTAAACTCTCTAAAAACTCACTCATAACAATGATACAAATATAACCTATATGATACTTGATGAATTAACTATAAATATTTCAGATATGACTTGAATTTTATAATATATTCATCACTCAAATGACTTGAATTTTGTGATCTATCCATTTCATCTGAGTATATTATAATATAGTCAAATCTCTTTATAATTATTATTTTTGGAAAAGCAAAATTTGATGACTATAAAGGGAATATAATTATAAAGGGATTTTTTTTACTATGTTTATATATAAATGGAAAAGCAAACTAAGATAATTATAGAGAGATGTGACTATAAACAGGCATGACTATAAAAAGGTTTGACTGTATAATCTAAGTAGTTTATACTCTCCTAGAAAGTATAAACTACTAAAATTTTTTTTGAATTAAATGCAAAAATCTGAAATATATATATACATTATATTAAAATATATATTATAATATTTATTTATTTTTATATTAAAGTAGAAGATAACAATTTATATTATAACATTTTTTTAGACTAAAACTGAAATCCATTCTCTAATTGCAAAGTAAATGTATAAATTTTTTATAATTAAACATATAAGAATTTGTGCACTTGTAAGAACAGGCTTCAGTTTGAGTCCAAAAAAATATAGATTAAAATATAGAATGTGAAAACTAAAAAAAAAAGTTTTATTTAATAAAGTTGATGTTGCATTTTTTCGATTGTCACTATATATGATTTTAATGTTATATACCCCCTTCCCTGGGGATATTTTACATCGCGTTTTATGGTTCTATTATAACCAATTAACCAGCAAAAAGTTGTGATTAGTTAAGGATAACTAGATCCTAGACAAATTTTTCAAAAGCATTCTAGTATGTATGAATTAACATTTTTTTTCTTACTACTAAATCGAAATACAAAATTCTAGAAATTATTTTGGAATTTAGAATTTAGAATCCAATTTCAGAGCCCGTGTTATGCTGACATAATTGAACCGGGATTAACGTTAATACTGGCCACAAAGTAATACAAATGTAAGACTTGTACGTCTCAAGTTCCTAAACCCTTTTCTTTTTTCTTCGTTTTAAATTTTCCAACATCCAGCAAGAAAGAATAAAATTAAATAAATCTTAACGAAGCCAAAACAAACCGAAAAATGACAGACAAATTACCGCCAAATCTACTAGCACTCTTTGCACCGCGACCGCCCCTTCCGTACGCAAAGCCTCTAGATCGAGACCCGACGAAACGAAAGGGTCGTCAGATATCAGGTATTGGACAGTACGTCGGTCTCTTGTCAAACTATGATCCTGATTATGTGCCTACTGAGACTGTTGAGGAGAAGAAGAAACGAAAGGTGGATTGAATTGCTTCTAATACTCGAAGGATTGAGGGTCCTTTCCTGTTAGAATTTTTTGACTATTAATCTATTATTAATGCACGCGTGTTTTTTTTGGGGGGAATTTCTTGGATAATTCTATAGCTTGAAGAGAAAAAGCAAAAGGCTGAAAATGCCATCAAAAAAGGACTTGAAGAATGTATTTATGAATTTTTTTGTGTGTGTTGGATTGTTTGTCCCGCTATAAACGTGGATCTAATTAATTCGTCTCTCTTTTCCCTCTTTTATATAAAAATAATATAGGGGATCCTAACAAAGATATGAATGTGACAGGAGATCCATACAAGACATTATTCGTCGCGAGGATGGTAACGAATTAAAAAAATTGCAAAACATAGATAAAAGCAAACATCAATCTGATTTTATGATTTTTATTAGCTTTCTCTTTTTTTCTTTGAATTTTAATCGTTGAACAAGTACCGCAAGTAATTATACATATTTAAAGCATTTTGATTTTTTTATCTAATTATTATTGTTCTTTTTACCACACTTTGCAGAGCTACGATATCACAGAAAAAGACTTAAGGCGTGAATTTGAAATGTACGGGCCTATTGAGAATGTGAGTATCGTGTTTTTGATTGTAAACTACTTATATATATTGTCAATAACATTAAATGGCTTTGTTTTGCTATCAAAAAAAAATAGATACGTATTGTAAAGAATAAAATTAACAGTGAACCGCGAGGATACGCGTTTATTGAATTCGAAAGAGAAAAAGACATGAAGGGTAAATTATTACTCTTTCTCTTATTTACTTATGAGAATTAATGCTGTTATATATAATAAATTTATTCGAAATAATAATTACGGATAGCCGCCTACAAAGATGCTGATGGTGTGAAATTATTGGGTCGTCGTATTCTGGTTGATGTAGAACGTGGTAGAACTGTTAAAGGCTGGAGACCTCGTCGTCTTGGTAAGCTATAAAATATAAACATTTCACACACCCATAATATTTCCTATTATTTATAAATAAATAATAATTATATAAAAAAAAGGTGGAGGATTAGGAGGCACACGAATCGGTGGTCCAGATCAAAATCAGAAATACTCTGGACGAGAAGGATCCTATATGATGCACACCGCGAGCAGCACTTTGCCCAACGGATCTAGTAGTTACGACAGAGATTATCGTGGATACTCCTCCCGCAGCGGCGGTAATGGATATGGCGGTGGGTATGGAGGTAGCAGTAGTGGAAGATATGGTGGTGTTGGAAGCAGTAGTCGTCATGGCAGTGGATATGATCGTGATTATAGACGCCGTAGTAATCGCAGTCGTTCACGAAGTCCATACAAGGAGGATAGGTATGGTTCGAAAGGAAGGGATCGGGATCGAAGACGAGAACGTCGTTGAATCTGGCATCATATACACACACAAAGTAAGAAAAAAGAAAGGCAAAGGAAAAAAGGAACTCTAAAAATTCTTTTAGCATTATTTTTTATTATTGTTATTTTCATCATCATTGTCACCATGATTATTTATTAGGCTTGTTGGTTGGGTAAGTCTAATGTTTATTCATAATCTTTGAGTTTCATCTTGAAGGGTAAAAGAGAATCTTTGGGAAGTATAATCATCATCAATCATCATAATCATACGACTAGGGAATAATGGTTTGTATACCTTTTTTTCGCGCAACGCACAAAACACCATCGCCACCCACTCTCTTTTCTTATCCGTAGTTATATTGAAAATCACTTTATAATCGATGATAATATCTTAGTTTTTTCGTTCCTTTTTCCTTTCTGTAATGCATGCACTATTCACAAAACACATCACACCCATTCACATTATTATTTACAAATACATGCATACATATGGTGGTGAGGATAATTACATTATATTCATTATACACAATCGAAATAGTAAGTAATAGAGGTAAAAAAAAACATGGGTAATTTCCTATCTATCAATTCGTGTCTGCTTTTTTCTCTTATTTGGTTTTCTTATTTGGGTAAGTGTGTGGGTAAGTGAATCTCTATTGTGTGTCTATCATCTACTTCTGTGTCCTACAAATTTAAATTTGATATATCCATTTATAAAATTTGGAAGATGAAATTATAAGTATGTATATTCATGGTGAGTATGAATTAAGTAAAAGCCAATAATAGAGGAACAAAAAACAAGTATCTGAACAGGTTTTATGCTCATAACTTTTGTATCGGCTGTGTTTTTGCCGTGTGACACAGAAAAGTATACGTCCTGCTATTGCGCCTCGAGTGCCACTAATCCTTTCTTTCGTGTGGACTGCACGAAGCTATTGATCTACTCTATATAGTGAAGTGTGATTTAAGCACACGCCCTAGAACTAGACGTTTATCGTTGTGACAAATTTTTTTCGTTTTTCAAATTAAAAATATTTTAATATAAATAAAACTGAAACTTGAACCAAAAAAACATGCTCCTGTTCAATATTCAGCATGAGTGCAAGACTTTTTTTGAAATTATAATTTAATTTTAAATACAATTTTATTTTATTTGTTAACAATGCACCACCAAGCCCAGGCCCGGTCTCCATCCCGGTTGAACCCCCTTACCATCTCCACCACGACAAACTCAATTACAATGGCTGCAACAATTTTCTGTTGCAATTAACAATTACGCATTTATGAACGAATACCTAGAGAAATTAAATTCTTTACATCCCCCGAATAAGAATATGAAAGCTTACGCCTTTTCGTATAATAAAATCCATATAGCATACGAAAAGGCTAAATCTTTCAAAAAAGACATTCACGAAAACTACCTCAAATTCTTGCGAAGTTATTTACAGATTTTTCCAGATCAAGATTCAGATGATCATCTCGGAATCACATGACCCGACAAATACTAGAAATATCTTTCATGCCATTTTCATCATCTTCGTAATCTTAAATTCAGTCATTACAAATCAAGAAAAAATATATTGAGAGTTAGTAAGTTCATATTATATATGTGATATAGAGAGTCCAGTTTACTGCATTTCTGCGCAGCAATTCTGCAAACTGAAAAACGTGCAAGATCATTTTGATGTCAAATTTAAAAATTTAAAAAATCGGGTGATCAAATTTTTAAGTTTTTTTAAAATTTGATCACCCGATTTTTTTGATAAAAATTAATAAAAATAATTTAAAATTACAAATTAAAATATAAAAAATTTAACTTTTCAATAGATTCTTTTGATAATCCATGTCTTCTATCATCTAAAATATTTTTGTAATCACTAAAGCTTCTTTCAACATCAAGCTATTTGTGCTAAATTAGGCAAAGTTTTTTGTTTTTCTCTCCAATATTCATCTAAATCTAAATTCTCATTTTGCTCTTCATTTAATCCACAATAAATACTCCATTCCATTATAATATCATTTGATGGATTTTTGAAATGAGAAATAATTTATAAGAAGCAATATTATGTCTTCTAGTAAAAATATAAATATAAAAAGAATCAAAACATTGAATTGCTTCAAATAATTTAAATGTGGATTGAAAATTAATATGCTTATTAAATTTGTTAAGAAAAAGTTGAAATGCTGCCGAAAATCTAATTTTAAATCATTTATATCTAAATTTGAATTATTTAATTTAGAATTCATTTAATTATTAAAAGGTAAATTATTAATATTATTTTGTAAAAAAGCATGTGTTTAATTTAAATAAGTAATTATTAAAGAAGCTAAAGGTTTTTTTCTAATTTTAAAAAATTCTAAATCAGTTAATAATCTATAAAAAAATTAAATATTAGTATATATAAGAATATTATAAAAATAAAAATATTAAAAAAAATTACCTTTGAGCATTAAAATTTATAAACATTATTATAATTCTAAATAAAAAATCTGTTTTTCTTGTTGAAATATATTTATTAATTTTTTAAAAGAATTATTATTTTTATTTAATTGAATTTTTTCTTCAAAAAAAATTTTAAAATAATAAATATAAGAATTTATTCAAATTACAAATTTCATTTTGTTTTAATAAATAAAGAAGAAAGTGTAATTTTAAAAAGAAAATTATAAATATTTGATAAATACAAAAGCTATCTACTTTTTCTTGTTACAAAATAAGAAAATATAGATTTAAAATTAGAAATAACTTGATTAAGTAAATTAAATTTTGCATAATTAATTCATATTTTTCCAATTAAATTAAAAATATGTGTTAAATAGAGATTATAATATAATATAGAAATTAAAAAAGAAATAATATTTTTAAAAAATTTTATTATATAACTTGTATTATTAGTAATAAAGAAAATTAAGAAATATTATATAAAAAAATTGTATAAAGAATAATTTGAGAAATTATACTATAATTAACAATATCAAAAAAATATGTTTTTATTAATTTTGTTTTATTTTTATAATTAAATAAAATATTAGTTATATTATACTTACAAAAATTTGTAGTTTTATCAAGAATAATAGAAATATATTCATAAACTTTTAATAAATAATATTTTCTTAATTAATTAATATTTATAATAGTATTTCTTATTAATTAAATTTAATTAATATAATAATTAAAATTTATTAATTTAATAAATTTTTTAATATTTTATTATTTTTATAATATTTGAAAAAAATAAATAAAGTTTTTTATTTTTTCAAATAAAATATTAGTAATAGCAAATACTTTAACTAAATTATAATTAATTTTTTGTTTTTCTGAAAAAAAAATAATAGTTTTTTAATTAGTTAATAAATTTTGTTTTTTATTTTTATAATTTTTGAATTTTAAATAATTATTTAAAATAGATTTTCTATTATAATTAATTATATATTTGTATAAAATATAATATAGTTTATTATTATTAATATAAAAATCTTTTTAATATTCGAAAAATTTATTTAAAATAAATTTAGATATAGTTATTTTGTTTTTTAAATTTACTTAAATTTTTTCAAATTTATTTGATTAAATATTAAATTTAATATAATTTTTAGATATAACAAAAAAATAATAATATTATTTAATTTAATAATACAAATTTTAAATCTTTCACTTTTTGTCTGTTATAAATAAATAAAACTTTGTTAGGTAATAATAGAATACCACTCTGACTTTTAAAAACTCCTGCTTTAAAAATAGTAGATTGCTTGGTCTGACATAAGAAAAATACTCTGGGACTTGATAATAATTTAATTATTATTTAAAATTTAATAATTATTATTTTTTAATTATTAGTTAAATATTATTTAGAATTATTTTTATAATGCAAGTTAAAAAATTTATATTATTATTATTATATAAATTATATAGATTCTGCAAATTCTGTAAATATAGTAAATTGAATACTTTAATATGATATAATTAATATAACTATTTAATTAATTTTGAATATTAATAATATCTTTAAATATATTAAAATAAAACTATATTTATTTAATTTAAATTTATAAATTTTTAAATAAATTTATTTTATTCAAAAAAATTTTTTAAACAAAGTGAAAGTTTAAATAATTTATTATATTGTTAATTATTTAATTTTATTATATATATAGTTCATATCATAAAACAATAAATAAAGTATTTTTATATAATATTATATATATTTAATAAAAATTACTATTAATTAAATAAATATTATATATAATAACAATTAGAAATAATGTAATGATATCAAAATTTATTAATTAAATATAGTAAAATGCAAGTTTTTTCTCTTTATATAAAAGTTTTCAATTTTACTAATAAATATTTTTTATTTTTATATTAAAATAAAAATAATATTA